CTCAGCGGAAACAAACCCCAGCCACACTCCCCCCTGCTGCTCACCCCCTGCACAGAGGCAGGCCCACATCCCAAACACATCAGAGGGAAAACAAACTCTCCTTCCCTCCCTCCCTCCCTCTCCCCGAGGGCAGCTCCTCAGCCCAGAAGGATGCTCGGCGGGTGGCTGGTCCCCCGATGTGATGTGACACAGAACTCTGCCTGCTGTCACCCCCCACCAGCTCCCAAACCCATGCCTGCTTCAGGCCTCTCCCTGCTTCCCTCCCATGGCTCTAGGGGCTGCAGAACCCTCCTGCCAGGGCACTCATTGCTGCAGCCCCTTCTGGAGGAGGATTGGGGAATAAATGACCCCAGAAATCATCAAGTTCTCTACAGATACTCTCTAATCATCCAACCTGGCTTAACCTTTTCCTTAGCAGGATCCTCTCTCCATCTCAGGGACTATATTAACTAGGCTCAGGAGATTACTGTAGTTGAAATTTTTTAATGTGCAACCATGCTGGCTGTCAATTTTAGCTCTCCTCTACCTAGCAAGGAGAGATCCCACCAGAGAGTGTTGACCCCTTGTGCCAAGCTTCGCATATGAGGTTTTTAGTAGAAAAAAAAATCATTTTTTGCCTCTGAGATCTTGTTTTGCACTGTCATGGTCAGGCAGCAGCCAGTTCAAGGAGCTGGTAGGGAAGCACTGAAGTGGGAGGCACTGTACAAACCCAGCATTCAGGCGTGCACCCATCCAGACCTCAGCACCACCCAAAGGGTCACAGCTGCTATCCACCACCACCCACTTCAATCCTGCAGGATAACCTATTGCTGGCAGGCAGTAGAGCCAACACACAACTGGAACCTGCCACCTCTAACACCACAGCCAACAGGGGCTTCAAATAAACCACCCAGACCAGGACAGCACCATCATCCACTGACGTGGGCAGAAGCATCACTCATCTGATTTGCTTTGTGAAAACTGTAATTAAAGAAAACTGCAAATCCCTGAAACATGGGGAGGGATGGAAGAGCAGAGAAATGATTTTATGCCAGCAATTTTTAGCAGAAAGTGTAGGGAGGGTGCCTCTGACTCCACGTTGCACTGAAGGATAAACCTGCTCTCTACAATCCAATTTACACCTCAACAAGCACAGCACAAAATGGGCTCGGGAACAGAGAGAGTGACAGGTCACAGGGCAGGGGAATGCTCAGAGCAGGGCTAAATGGTAACTTAAGGGGTTACTGAATAGATTAGTGGGAGCTGCAGAGAGAACACATTTGCATCTCTTTCAGCTGCTCCAGATCAGATGTGATAGCAGCCTCTGCTCTCACAGTCACTTAATTGTTCCAGGGTTGTTGAGTGGGAAAAAGTGTCTTTTTTCACTGCAGAGTTCTGGGAAGAGCCACACTTGGCTTTAAGAGCCATCCAAGGTTCAGCTTGGCTTTAAGAGCCATCTAGAGTTCAGCTTGGCTTTAAGAGCCATCCAAGGTTCAGCTTACCAGGGCCCCTGCTGCCCCCATGGCTGTCGTGCCCGTCCGCAGGCTGGTCGCTCTGGCAGCTCTCCGTGGCACTGAGGGCAGCCCCCTGCTCGCTGCCCAGGCTGCTGTGGCTCCCCGAGAGGGTGGGGGAGTGGGTGCTCCCCAGCACCCTGCCCACGGCCTGGCTGGGCTCCCCGACGGGTGCTGCAGGGACACAAGGCAGAGAGATGCTGCTGTGGGAGGCAGAAGTGGGTGCAGATGCTGGGGCAGGTCCTGAGAGAGCAGCAGCTTCCCTGCTCCCAGACAGGCACCCTCAGGAGCAGGGTCAAAACCCAGTTCCTGTGCCCCATTATGGCACCAGTGATGCCAGTGCTATAATGTCAGGAGCAAGGAGCTGGCTGGAGGTGTGCTGGGACCAGCTCCCAGCTGCAAGGGCAGACCCTGAAAGGCTGCAGGCAATGGAGTGACCCACCACTGTTTGTCCCATGGATACTATTCCAGTGAGAAAGGACCAACTCCTCCCCTGGCACAGCCACGGCCAGTGGGCTGCACCAGCGTGGGGCAGGCAAGCAGCTGAGCCAAACCCTGCAGGACCAAACGTCAAACACTCAACCAGTTGACACTTCCCACCCCCCAGCCACGAGGAACAGCAACTCCTCACCCAGTCCTGCTTGGTGCCTTCTGCCTTCTGAGCCTTTTGACCCCACAGGTAAGGGCTTGTCATCCAGGCTGCAGGAACTGAGCTCCGAGTCGCTCTCGCTGTCGCTGGAAACCACTGCAGAAAAGATTGGGGGGAGGAGAGGAGAGAGACAGCTATTCACAATGTTCCTAACACTCACCAAAGAGGGTGCCAGATGGATCCAGAGAAAACATGAACAAATGCTTCTACTTTTAACAGAAGATGTGTAGCTCCGCTGCACGCGTTCCCGTGGTGCCAGCACCTAAAGCAGATGCACACACCACCAGTGCTGCTCCCCCAGACCTGACTGGGACCACACCACACTCTTCCTGTGCTGCCCAAAGCTCCTCACTGCCAAGCCAAGAGCCCTGCAGCGTGGCTGGTCTGGGAGCTGGGCTCTGACCCCACTGGCCCGGTGCTGAATGCCAGCAAGCCCCTTCTCCTGGTGTTTGCCATCTCCCCCACGGGAGGGACGTGCTGAGGGCTGGGCACAAGCTGGTCCCTGCTCAGCTGCAGCTGCAGAGCTCCTGGCTGCACCACAGGAGCATCCACGTTTGAGTAACGTGGGGAGAGGGGCTGGCTTCCTCCAAGCCACGTTACAAGCACGGCAGGACCTCTGTGGAGGCTCCAGGATCTATGAAGAAAACTCCAGATAAATACTGAGCACATCAAATAAAAAGCCCTGCAGCGATTAAAGGAAGAACCAGCAGCCTTAGCTCATCGTCCATTCAGCACTCATCCCATCTGCCCAGAACTGGATTGCTCCTATGCCCCTAGGCTTAAAATGCAAGTGCTGCTCCTCTTCCTCAGGGAGACTGTTCCTCCATTTCAATACTTTTTTTTTTTTTAACTTCTTCCCCCCATCCTCCAAATCCTGGCCCTAGTCCTGCTGCTTTCCACTGTATAGTTTCCACAAGAGCTGAAGGAGCCTCACGTTGCCAGACACGACTTCCCAAATTGGCAGGTAGGTTGTTTCCATTTTTCCATGCAATTATGCAAGCACCCCTCCTGCTTCCACCGGTGTAGAAGATAACTCCACTGCCAGCTGCTCTGGGTAAAACCAGAAACGTGGTTTTTCCATTTCCCAATTTCAGAACAGAAACGATGGAGCTGAGGAGGAAGGTAACAGGAAAACAACTGTCTTTTGTTTGAGGGATGGCACCTACAGCATTTCTCCATCTGACCAAGGCAGAGACCAGCTCTCCTGGCAGCTCAGATGCTGCGGTGGGTCACAATTCCTGCTAGAAAGTACAATACTGGCTCATGTGAGATACAGAGCAAGCAACACTGCAACCTACAGCCTCTGCTGTAGAAAAAGGGAGCCCAAACTATCTATACTCATCAGTACATATTTACAAGCTCACATTCCCCATGAGATACTAGCTGCTTGCTCTGCTACCAGACCAACCACTTTGCCCCCACGCTGTGTCACTCGTAGTGCCCAAGCCCACGGTGCTGTGGGGCACAGGAGGGCAGGGGGGGCAGAGGTAGGAGGTGACAGCCAGGCAAAAGGAGCTGTCAGCCCATCTCTGTGTCAGCCCTGAAACTCATGCCACACCACTCTCAGAGCTGCAAACCCCTTCAGGCTGCCCAGGGCAGGAGGATGGGTATTGCTCCCCTCACACAGGCCAGCACAAGCTGTCAAACATTCCTGCCCAGGAGCTCTGCCGACGCTCCTGTATTCAGACAGCCATCTGTACTACACCAAATATTTTATTAAAATGGAAAAAAAAATATTCATACCTAAAATAGCAGTTCTGTGGAGTTAAGATCTCTGAGGATATTAAAGCTGGCTGGTGGTGTTATTGTAAAGTGTTATTGCAGTTGCTCTGGAAGGCAGCTCCTCATGCACGCCTTGCTGCCAGGGTCCTTCAAAGGTTTGAGGTTTTGGGCTTTGCTGTCCTGAAACCAGCGACACCACTCCCCCAAAGCTCCCTGGGAGAGGTGGGGGACTATACATAAATACTGTTAATAACAACCCATACACACCAGGGTGTATTTTTTTGCTATAAAATCCAAATCTCAGCTGATTGAGAATCATTCTGACCGTCCCATTGATGAATTCCCTCTGGAAATACACTCCTGTCCCACTTGGTCGTCATCTTTTTTTTGGCCTCTTGGATTCATAAAATCGATGGCTTTAGAACAGCTTCCTCCTCCACGAGTCCTTTAAAAATGCTGGAAAGCCAGGATTTATTTGGAGAAGGCCCCAGTGAACCCGTGGAGGTGACTTTAGCTGCCTTCCCTTCTGCCATTCAGCAGATCAAGAGAGGACCAGCACAAGAGGAAGAAAATATTAATGACATGAGGGCACTCGCACCACAGCAGCAGCCCTGTCTGCTCTCATTTCCTCTGCTGCCAATAAGAATGTATTTTACTCACTGCACCAATATTTCCCTTTCAGGTAATTTTTCTCCCAAAGCTCCCAGACCTTCTGCTGGCGCTTTCCAGAGCCCAGAAGTTGTAAATCTGGTGTTCCAGCAGTTGCTGATATATCAATAAGAGTCGTTGGACAGCTGTACTTGCAGAGAACATAACAGATTTATCCCTCTCCATCTCCAGCTGACTGAAAAAAATAATCTATTAAAAAGTTATGCTGAGATAAAACTTGCAAGAAAAGCACTATTCCCACGGGGAACGGGTCACTCATCAAGGGCCTGAACCCCAGTGGCTGCTGCCACAGCCTGTGATCTCTCTGGCACATTGTTCAACCTCCAAGGCAGAGGTATGAGACAGAGAGCCCAGGGAACAGCCGAGGGCTGCCAGGCTGCACTTAACCCCAGCAGCAGAGGATGTGGGGAGGCTGTGCTGAGGCCAAGGGGAAAGGAGCACGTGGCTGGGGTTGAGCTCTCAGATGAAATGTGTGCAGAGCATTTAACAGCTAATAAAAAGAGCCAGCCACGCTCCTTCCCTCTGCCCATCCCTGCACACATGGAGCCTGGCACTTCTCAGAGCTGCCAAAAATGAGAAATAGCTCGTGGGCAGCCTGCAGCCCCAGCCCCACAGGCTCCACGGGCAGGCTGAGCTTGAGCCCCTGAGCACCCAGCTCCCCAGCAGCACCCTGAACACCAGCATCTGCAAACCCGACCCCCAGGGAGTGGGAGGGTCAGAGAATCCTAGAATGCTTTGGGTGGGAAGGGACCTTTCAAGGTCACCAACCTCACCTGGAATGTTGCCAGGGATGGAGCTTCTACCACTTCTCTGGGCAACCTGGGCCAGTGTTTCAACACCCTTTGCATCAAAAATCTCTTCTTTATATCTAATCTAAATCCCTCTCAGTTTAAAACCATCACTCCTTGTCCTGTCACAACAGGCCCTGCTACAAGGATTGTCCCCATCTTTCTGATTAGAAAGGTACCCATTAAGTACTGAAGGGTCATAATAAAGTCTCCCTGAAGCCTTCTCTTTCCAAGTTGAAAAACTCCAACTTTCTCATCCTGGCCTCACAGCAGAGGCGTTCCACCCTGGACCATTTTTGTGGCCTCCTCTGGACCTGCTCCAACAGGTCCCTGTCTCTCCTGTGCCGAGGACTCCAGAGCTACACACAGAACTGGGGGGGAGGGGGGGTCCCTCACCAAAGTGGACTAGAGTGGGAGAATCACCTCCCTCCACCTGCTGTGCACATCTCTGGTCAGAGATGAGTTTTATCACAATGCAGGTGTCTCAGAGTGCAGCTCCTACACTGGACCATGCCCAGCACTGCAGGGACCTCTCTAAGCAGGAGGAGCAGGGGACAGGACCCAACTGCTCTCCCTTTCAGAAGCAGCACACGTGCAGCTTTGGAACCGTCCAAACTTGTGGAGAAGTTGGATGACCCCGAGTGGCCTGAAAAGCTCTTGGCGTGCCCCATCACTCGGGGGTTTGGCCTCCAGCACACAGACACTGGACAAACCCCCTGCAGCCCCTGCCCGGGTGCTGCTCCCGTGCCTGTGGCAGCACAGTGCTTGGCAGCAGGAGCAGAGCCCAGTGCAAGGGGAGACACCCCGGGGGCCGAGCGGAGCAGCAGGCAGCGCTCACGCCAAGCGGCAGCTCCGGGATCACGCCTCCTTCTTCCACCCAGCTGCTCTGCAATATTCCTCCTGCAGAACGCAGAGTTCAGAAGAAGGGAAGCCCTGCTGCTTTATTGCTCCCCACCCGCTGATGGCTCTGTCCTGTCTGACCTGGTGCAGAAACCCACCCACATTCCACCACATGGAGCAGAGCTGTTCCCCAGCACAAGAATTATTACCGCTATTCTCCCCGTGACAATACGTTTGTGCCTTAACTAATAGCAGGGTTCCCATGGCAACTGCTTGTTTATTACAGAAAAACTAAAGGGAATGGCAAATCCCAGCATCGGCGAGCACAAGAGGAATAATGGGTGTGTAAAAATAAAGCTTAGTCCTGGCAGGTTTGCCTTTTCATCCAAGAGGCACGTTCCTGCGGTCCTTTGGTCTCACTGCCTTCCCACCCCCTGCAGCAGAAGTGACCAGTACCCAGGGCCTGGCACTGATCCCTTCCTTTTTGGGGGGGGAAAAGGGACACTTGAGGTTTGTCCCATCCCTGCTGAAAGGCAGCTCCTGGTGTGGAGGACATCAATAGGACAACCAAGGCTCCTGTCTCCCGGGCTCTCCGGGAGTTGTGCTGGGATATGGCTGTGCCTGTGCTGGTGCCACCTGACTGGAAGCTCTCAACAGCTGAGAGATGGCTCCTTCAGCACCTCAGGAGGCAAGCGGTAGGGTTAGACACAACTGGCCAAGAAAACAGACACCCCACTGAGAGCAGCCTGTCAGAGTCAGGCGTGTTAAACACTAGAGCTCACTCCCGAGAACATCCTGCCCAACAAGCCACAGGGCTTCACCCGAGCCAACAGGACATGTTCTGCCTTGGCAGCCATGGCCTTGTAAAGCCCAGTCCAGGCCCAGACCCATGGTGGCAATATCACAGCTACGTCATCTCCACGGGGGAAGGTGGCTGCCCTGCACGTAGCAGAGGTTTCAGATGACACTCAGCAGAAGTCTCAGCACTGGCAGGTGAAAGGGGGTTAAATGGAGGGGTGAGATGTACAAGCCCCCAGCTTTGGAGATGGATTACAGCCCTTAAAGCCCATCAAAGGCTGTCCAGAGGACAAGTGGCCTAACAGAGAAGGGCAATGAGGAAAGAAAATACCAGAAAATAAAACCATAAATTAATATTATCCAACTCATAAAACAGCAGCCAGCCAAAAATCAGTGCACAGGGAGAAGCGCAGCTCGCTACGCACATCAAAGCTTACCAAGGGCCACTCTGTTCCTGCAAAGCATTTAGGGGGAGGCCTCCTCCCAACACAAAACTCAACTAAAAAGCTGAACTAGGTCTGGGTTCAACATCTTTTGACTCACACTGTTTTCTGTATCATGTGAACAGAAAATACCTCATCAATCAGTTAATCTGCTAAGACAACTCCTTCCAAGCATCTCCTGGAGGGAAGCACAACCATCTATTGTTGATCTAATTTGTCCTTAATTACAAAAGTTACAGCAGGGCTGGGAGTGCTTTCCTAGCTGGGGCCTGAAGAGAAGGTTTGTAAACCTGACTCTCCTGAGTCCTCTTTATTAAAAGGTTATTTGCCCCTGCACTACTAAGATTTATCTTGATGCGGAAAGCTGCTGAAGAGGTCTGCTCCAACTGAGGGGATCTAATAGCAAAAGACAGAAGGGGAGAGAGGCCAGATAGTTCTGCTCATCCACACCAGAAAGAAATGAAGAGGAATCCAAGCAGACTGGCAGCAGCTTTAGTTCTGCAGCATCCACCTGCTGCTGTGGTACTGACCTTGAGTGCTCAGCTCCTCAATGCCAAGCTGCTGTTTCCCCCAGCTGGCTGGAGGCACTGGAGTGGGTGTAGGAGCAACAAAGAGATGGAAAAGAGCAGGGAAAGGAGACCTACAAGGCAGTGCTGTGAATGGGATCTGACACAGCAGCCATCCAAGATGCCACGTGTGCTACAATGGTCTACCTCAATCAAGGTCTACCTCAAAGAACAGAGATGTGGATGCTGAAGAGCACAAATCCTCAGGTTTGTCAGTGCTCTGGCCCCAGCCCTGCGCAGGGCAAAGTTAATCAACAGCTTCTCTGAGATGCATTTAAAGGACACCTCAGACTTGAGTTCTCCATGCTGCCAATCTCAGCCCCCTCCACAAGGCCAGGGAAGGAGCTTCACCCATTGCTGGTCTCACCTGCTCAGGAGGGTCAGGTACAAAAGGACACAGCCACCACCAGCTCGCTCCTGCCCACTGACTGTAGATTATCTCTGCCCACTTGCTCTAGGCCCCAGGGAGATGGTGGTGGTGTCATTGCTAGCCCAGCTCAAAGCAGTTTGAGGCATCTCAGTGGTGCCTTGTGGAGTAGCAGAAGCAAGAAATAAACAGCTCAGGGAGGGAGGGAGGGAGACCAGCCGTTTGACAGCCTTGGCTGCACAACACTGTCCATCCTTGGCACCATCCCCTGTGGTGCAGCAGGAGGAGCTCTCTGGGCTGGGACTGCAGGCAGGTGTCTGCTACACAGCTCCTCCCTTCCTTGGCAGTCCCAGCAGAACAGCCAGCACTGCAAGGAATGGAGGAAAGCAAGGGAGTAGGGATGGACTGAAGGACAGGGAGTCCAGGGGCATTTGGGTGAGTCTGGGCCACCAACGTGCGTTTTAACAATAAAACCTGGAAAACATACTGTAGCATAAAAAGCCCAACACTGCCCACACAGGAAACACATCTTGTGGGCTATTCCTCACCTCTCACAGAGGGCCTGCCCTCCTAGCAACAGCAGGAGCCAGGTCCTTCTCCCCACCTGCCTGTGGGGCACAGAGCAGACAACCAACCTTTTCCCCTGGCCCAGGTGAAGGGGCGGCTGGTCCCGGGCTCCGGCACGGCTGGCTCGCTCTGCCAAGGCTGCGGGGGCAGCTCGCTGGGCTTGCTGCTGCTCTTCAGAGGGGGGATGTACTTGGGCAGCCCCTTGTAGAACCAAGCACCAGACCTCTTCCAAACCTGTCAGACAGACACACAGTACCTTAAGCTTGGGTTTTTACAGCGGGAGAGGACAGCCAGCACCAAAACGAGCTCCCCACTCATCGGCCCGGCCGCTCCCTCTGAGATACCTTGACCCCACACAGACACAGGAGAGGTCAAGCCCTCCAGCTCACAGAGTCCAGTGGTTCCCCTGCACTCTGCAACTACCACAGCACCCCAGATTCCTCCCCACACCTTCTCAGCCCAGCTTCACCACTGTCCTTCCTCCCACCACTAGAAAAATCACACGTGTGAATGCATAGACTGAAGTTGGAGCAGAGGGTGATCATACAAACCACAGAGCTTCTTACATTCTCTGGGTCAAGAATAGATGCTTCTCTGATGCTGTGCCCGAGTCAAACACATTTTCAGGCTTTCTGCAAAGATATCAGGATGAAGTCCCCTGACCTGCACTAAGCAGGAGGCAGTTCAGACTCTGCATCTATTGCTTTCCCCTTGGGAATGCACCAAGAAAAGCTTCCCCGAGAGAGCAGGCACACGCCAGAGTGGCAATAGCCCCAGGCACATGCTCTGCTTAGAGTAAAACAAGTCTGGCACTGGCTGGAGGGGCAAGGAGTCCTGGCAAGTCTCTCCTCCTGGGCCAGGCCCCTCAGCCTGGGTCCATGTCCTTCAGAGAGAGTCAAAGACCAGCAGCAGCTGGGGGTGCAGGTGGCAATGCCAGGGCAGCAGAAACGCTGCCACACCGAGTGGCACAACCTTGGCTTTAGTTTCACAGAGCAACTCAGGCTGCTCCAGATCACCTAACAAGTGTGCTTGAAAACCCCACAGTGAGAAGAACAACACTCAAACCACCTGAACCTGTGGAGGAAATGGACTGTGAGCACTAAGCCACAATATCTCCTGGAAGAACACCCTCCACTCTCCAATTTAGTTTTAATGCAGCTTATGATGAAGGAGCTCCATTAAGTATATTTAATATAAAGCCTGCTGTGATGCAGAGGAAAGGAAAAGGATAGTAGCTCAGACAAGGAGAAATGGCCTCTAAAAATCTAATTCTTTTGTGCCTTCCAGCAGTCTAATAATGAGCTAATGAGACAGCCAGCACAAAAATAAGTTAATATAGTAAAAATATCATTTTCTATTTCATGCAGGGGGGTAGAGACCTTGCACCTCTGTTCAGAGTAAGGGATATCATCAGTGTTTTTATTCCATGTTCCCAAAGCATTTTTCTTATTGTATCACCATGATGGCAATGGGTGCAAATGCAGACAACCCTAATTACAGTCATACATTTGCAATTTGCATTTAGGGCTTAATCAAAGCAGAGGGCAGTGACAACACCTGGCACTCGGGAGAAGTTCTCCTCATGCAGGCACAAAAAGCAGGACACCACTGTCACCATTTCACTGACAGGAGGAAATTGCTCAGCAGGTTGCCTTGTTCCTAGTCCAGAGCCATCAACACAGAGAGAGAAAATCTCTGTGTTTGGGGTACTGAAAGCCAAGTGAAGGAGATCTGAATTCACAGAGAAACCTGGTAGTGTGAGTTTGACATAAGAGCACCCAGCAGAGGAAAGCAGAGCATCACTGTGACCCAGCACACGTGTCAGCTCCTGTAAGGGTGCCCGTGTGCTCCACAGCAGGATCTGGAAAGCTGAAGCTGAGAGCACCCAGCAATTACAGCAACGTTCTCCTGCCAGCAACAGCCCAGCAGGACTGTGAGTCTGCTCCAAAGGAAAAAGCTTGGGAAGCCAGTTCTCCAAAGGAGAGAAGGCTGCAAGTTCTTCTCCTACAGAGGGGGCCTTGGCAGGCAGGACGTTTTACCAGCTCCTTCACCAGCATGCAAACAGCCAAAACAGTGACCCAGCCAACGAAGGCACAAGCTGACACAGCTCCTTCTGTCCCCTCTACAGGCTCATCGGGACTGCAGTGTTTGGTACAGCTTGTACAAGAGCACACAGACCCCAGCAGAAGGTGCTCGGCTCTCCCCACAAAACCAGGAATCAGGAAACGGGATGTGTGGGTTTAAATCCAGGAGAGGCCTCTCTACAAGGTGCTCAGCCCACAGCAGCTCAGGTAAAGACAGGAGATGCAGGAGCTGAGCCTGGGCAAGCCCTGAGCTCCCCTGTCTGCAGAAGGCAGGAGCCTCGGGGGCAGCTGCACACAGAGGACATGGGCAGAAGAGGGGCTGCTGTGCCCACGGGGGCTGCACCCCCAGCAGCTCCACGGCTTGGGGAGGACAGGTTGTCCATCCCCTGCCACACACCAGGTAGCTGAGGCACACAGAGCTGCCCTGGACAAACTGCTGGGGAGGAAGCCACCCCTTCTTACAGCCGTCCTCGGAACAGGCCCTGCAACACCTCTAATTTAATCTGAAGCACTGAGGAGACCTATTATCTTCAGGCAAACTACAATTTAGGCACACCATAAAACCAATCAGACACAGTAAGATTGCTGTAAGAAAAGGCTGAAAGGCTGGTCACCACTGGGCTTCTCACTACCCCAAGCAATCCAGTTATAGAAAGAGTTAACGATATATTATATCTAGCTCTGATGGTGTAATACTAGTATAAAATTGATTCTATGCATACATATCCACTTTAAATTGGTGCTTCTAATAGTTTGGTCTCTTTACAGCAGTACTGAAATCGTTTTGAGATCAGCTCTCCAATAACTGCAGCAGGATGCTCTCCCTGTGCTAATTCAGCAGCTCTGCTCCCCCCCTGGTTAGCAGCACGCCCCATCTGAACCCCCCCTGGGTCACCTTCTGCTCTGCACGTGGGCACACGGGTCAGCTCTAGCATCCATGCATCAAAACAAATCGATGCTGCTGGCTGCTATTGATGGGAGTTCCATTGATTGCAAGAGTGGCCCCACAGAGAAGTTCTTGCTTCATTTTAAATTAATAAATCTTTAACAGCGCTTCAAGAATAAAAGCCCTGTTTATTGGCAAGAGTTCGCTCCCTCCAAGGAGGGGAGAGTTTTGCTCCCACCAGTCCCACTGGCACATAAGGTGAAATTCAGCCCCCACGGCAGCCTGAGTTTGGGTGGAGCTGGAATCTCATCAGCAAGGACAGCCAGCCCCTTGCAACAATCCAATCTGAGGTAACACTGACCATCCTCACTCCCAGTGCTCGGCAGAGGGGAGTGAAGTCTGGACCTCCACCACCCCAGATCAGGGTGTGGGGACCCAACGTGCAGCTCAGGACAGAGCAGTCACACCACAGCTCACCCACAGCTCTCCCCAGGCCCACTGCCCTCAAACTGGCCCAGCCAAACAACCAAACTGCAGGCTGAATACTGACTGGCTTCAGGCTCCCATCCTTCTGCTTCCCCTGACACCTGAGCCACCCTAAAGCAAAGCAGTGAAGACGAGTTACTTTAGCAACAGACTCCTTTTTTTATTACTTCAAACCAATTTAACAGCCATGGTCATGACAAGTCCAGGGAGCTCAATGCCTTTTATAACCCTGATAATACACTTATTAAAGTTGCATCAAGCCATCATTACAGCTACAGGATGAGACAGTCACAAGCAGATGTGTATTTTTATCCAGCACATTCAAGTGTAGCCTGTAAATGGGACCTAAAAGAGAATCACTGGGCCCTGGTGAAATGCATGTTACTGCTCAAACTTCTTCCTCCTCTTCCTCCTTCTCTGAAGATACAAGTACTAAAACAAGCTCCTGAACAGAGAAAACAGGACTTGCTGATGAAGGGATGGGATCAAAGCTGAAGGACTCATAACAAGCACTTGCAGCTCTTCCAGAGTTCACTTCAAGTCCCCTAAACAGAGACGCTTAGAAAAGATCTTTGCTACAAAGCCACACTGTGCCCTGGCACTGACTGCTTGCCACGCAGTAGCTGTTCCCATCCTGCAGCCCCTTTCCTTCACAGCAGCAGCCCGGGCTGGGCTGGGTGAGAGGAGAACAGCCACCTTCAGCCTCCCATGCTGGGAGCAGCATTATTAGCTCAACCCCTCAGCAGCCCAGAAGCGGGGGAGCAGGTTCCTGGGGGCTACAATGAAGAGAAAGGCACCTGCAGCAAAGGCAGCCCCCCGGGGAGGGTCTCATTGGCAGTGGCCTCACGCAGCACGTGCCCCCACGCTCACTGTGTCCCAGCTCTCCACCCTGCCTCTGGCACGCTGCAAACCACTGGCAGGAAGAAAGAGCAAGCGCTCCTCTGCTTCATTATTTGCATTCATCTGCTTTTCCATAACACAGAGATTTCCAATTACATTATTTACAGCAATCTGTTGTCAACTCCCACATTCAGCTCTTGAGGATGAAGAAAATTAAAAGGCAGTGAAATTGCTATTCGGAGCTTTGTTTCCGGAATAGCAAAATCTCCCTCACCCCTGACCCCAACGTTTCTCAAGCTGCAATGGCTGCCAGCCTCCAATGATTTATCATTCCCCTCTCAATCAGACCTCTATTTTTTTTTTTTCCTGTGGCTCTATTCTAGAGGACACTATTTTGAGTCTAACTACTTGCTACCACCCCCCAAAATAATACGGCAGGCTATTGATGAGCTCTTTGAATTGCAAACAGGTGCACATCACTTTGATTCAATCCAGAGTCACCCAAAATAAACACTCCCCTCCATCAGGATGGTCTTGTGCCAAGGAATCATCACACCAGGCAGCAATAACCCTGGGCTATGTTGGTCTGTAACGTTCAGAACTGCACCAGTGCATATGTGCAAAGGGAAGCCCTGGGGGCAAAGCAGGAGGAGACAACTCTGCTCCTCCAGCACAGTAATCTTCCTCTGCATGGTTTATTGTGATAAACCAAGAAATGCAGCCAGCCATGAAAATGCCATTTAGCGAAGGAGAAGAAATTAAAGGGAAAGTGAAGCAGAGGGGGCAAATTAAAACTTTAACAGGTCCCCGATAGCTGACACTCTCTTTCACATCCAGTAGGGTTTAAAAAAAAAAAAGCTATCTCCCACCCCCCCCTGCTCGAGCTGCTTTCATTATCCCTAGTTTTGGATGTGTCAATTCAAATGTAAATGCGTACGAACGCTTCCAAGAGGATTTTAATTACAATGATAGCATCGCTAATTATGAATACGAACAAAATATATATATATATATATAAAGTGGTAATTCAGGAAGGTGCTTTTCAAAACCTGGTGTTTTTAGTCAAAACAAGGCTGTGCAGAGAGGTAAATGGCTGGGCAGGGATTTGACAAAACGCAGCAGGTCCCACTTCTCCCTCAGGCCGGGAGGTGACAGGAAAACTTCAGCCACACACAACTGATTCAACACTGGCACTGCTGCCCAGGCTGTTACTAAGCTCACGTGCTCTGCCAGAGGCCTGGCAGCAGGGAACCATTCCAGCTGTATACGTGCCCACCACAGCCCCTCCCAGGCTGTTTGGCTCCTCTGACAGCCACTGCAATAAGCCCATTTTGCTGGAGGTCTTGCTCCCTTTCTGCCCCGTGCTCTCTTCTGCTGGCTGCTTCACTGCCAAGTCCACAGACAGGCTCAGTGCAGACCTGGGGCCAGTGTTTGCTGCACTCAGGGATCAGTGTCCTTGATCATGCCACAGGACTTCACACACATGCAGAAAGAGCACTGGCCCAGCCCTCCACAGCCAGCCTCCAGGAAGGACATGCAAGATGCAAAGCCAAGAAAGAGAATGCAGCACATGGAGGAGGGAAGGAGCAAGGCAGAGTCTTGCCCTCAAAACGTCCCCATATTATTGTGAGAACAAAAGGGCCTGAAGCAGGTGAGCCAGTGGGAGCACCCAGGCTCTGTCAGGTCCCAGCCATGTTAGTGTTCTCCTCCCAGTGCCTCTCTGGCAGCCTGGAGACCCTCAATCTGCACGGACACATCGCGCTTGGCAGCTCAAGTGCTGCCAAACACACTGTTCTGCTTCTGGATGACTGGGACGAAGCAGCAGCACAATCCATTAATCACCTCCACTCTCCAGAAATAAGATGGCATCAGAGCAACTTGTTCCTCATTGCTATGCAGCACAGCCTTCCCAGTGGAGGTTTTCAAGGAAACAGCAGCAAAGAACACCTCTGAATGGCTGAGGCTGGGATTCCTAAAGGGATCTATGGGCACCAAACATTTGACTCCAACTGAAAACCTGATGTAAACAACAGCTTTTGTTACTTTGGTCTTATTTTGACCCAGGCATACTGAAGATTTAATCCCACCCAAAGCCAGCACAGATTCTGTCTGCACAGGAAAAGGGGGAAGATGACTACCACATGTCACCAAACTCACACCAGCTTAAATCAAGCCTGTAGGGATAAATAACAAGGAAGATGGAGAGATGAAAGCTTTAGCATGTACAAACAATGCTGCACACTTCAGCTGTTAGCTGGTACATGGGGACATCCAGCCCCACCACCCTGGCTTGAGATCCTGGTGGGCCACAAGACACACACACTCAGTGCACGGCAGAGGAGAAAGGGGACAATTATACTCCTAGGCTTTTGTCCCAGCCAGACAACACTTATTAACTCTAGCTGACATCATTTAGTCCATCCAGGTTTCCAAATGACCTCCCTGTCTCACTTCAGTGCCTGACAGTCTCTCACTAAGACTTGAGAGCTTCATAAATATCATGCCCAAACAGCTTGAGCGGCGGTTCAGAAAATTAGATGGCGAACAAAGTGCTGATGTGGAGGAATCACCTAGCTTGGAAATACCACATCTCATCACTCCAGACCAGCATCACCACCAGAGCTGGACAAGTTTAGGGGCCTGAGCACAGCCCAACAAGATAAGTGTCACCATAGCTCTGTGGCCTGGAACAAGTCTACTTTAAACACGTTCTGTTGGCAGGGGCTAAAGGAGAACCTTAGTCTGTCACACTGTGCAGTGATAAGGGGAGAGAAGGACAACACTGACTCGTTACCACAACACAAAACCCAACATGATTTGGTGTGTTCCTGTGGAATCCCAGGAAATAAAAGGGGGCCAATACCTACTCACCATGCAGGGGATTCAGAGGTTAGGCAGAAATGAGGATATCTGACTGCAAAGAGCAGACATCCATCTGCACTCATTGACAGCAAATATAACCTTCAGCAAAGAGCCTGGCCAAATGGGTTTGCTCCAGAGCAGATGGCAACACAAGACAGATCCAGATCTCAGAAACAGACAACAACATGGAACTGGTTGTGAACACAAGCCCATAAAAGAAATCTGGTAATTTATTGCATGCCCTGTAGTACCATGACACCTGAACCACCTTCAGGGACTGCTCTAGCACCAGCCATCAGCCCGAGGCCTAAGAGCCTCACCTTTACCTCACACAGATTCTTAGAGAGGACCTGATCAAAGCCACCTTTCAGACATTTATTCTGACACTGCCTCAGCTTCCTTGCCCTGGCTGACATGCCTCAAGGCTTCTGCTATTTCTCAATGCTTCCCTGACTTCCCCCAAAATAAAAGCAGAGCATGTGGGAAGACAGAGGGGATGTATGACTTGATGCCTGGCTGCGTGTCCACACTGTGATCCTTCCAACCTTCTCCTGGTCAGGGCATAACCACCACTACAAACAAGAAAGGAGACAGCCCTGAACTGGCCTTAAAGAGAAGCAAAAAATAAAGATGAAGCTCAGGGTTGGGACACAAGATGAGGCTATTTTTTAGTAAGGCTAAGAAGAAACGTTCCATCCATAATTATTAGGGAAGCACTTTGGCCATATCTCAGGTTTAACAGAGAGAATGAACTCTGAAGGTTACTGTACCCTCACACACTGGCCACGTGTAACACTAGACAGGTTAATATTCAATATTATCCTCTGTCCAGCGGCCACAGCTCCTCAAATAGGAAAAAAACCACCAATTTTACAGTGTGATATTATGGAAAAAAATCCCAAAAGAACAGAATAAAAGAAATGAAGTTAATTTCAGTTCCATACCCATCTCCCTGCAGAACGCAGAATACATCTTGACCTGCCTCACTCTATTTTGGGACCTCCATCTGGCATTCAAAACATCTGGATGATTCAGTGTATCAAATTATCAGCAATATCCAAGGAACTGGGATGCTCTCTGCCTGCCCTACTCACACCCACACTGCTACTCAGAAGTTAAAGACTGGCAGCATCCACGTGCCCCTCATCTTACCTGAACATGATCCTTGCAAGTGCTCCCACACAGACAAACCCCTCCTCTGTAAAACCTGAGCAATACCAAGTTTGCACAGCTAGTATAAAAGAAATTCAGAACCTCAAACACCTGCACAAATGCTCTCATTACACTCCAAAATTGATTTAGCAGAGCACCCAGGTTTCACAGCTGGTTGCAGTGGTCAGAAATAGCTGCACTGGATTGATGTTCAAGGACCACAAGCAAAAGCCCAAAATAATTTGATGGGAACAAGTGAAAAACCTTCTGTGATCACACAAAAAAATTCACTGACTTCACCGTAGAGCAGTGAGCCCTCACGTTGGTGGATGCTGGCTGGCAGACAAAGAATTGAGGCAGGCCATTACTTTTGCAGGGTAAAGTTAAGGATGAGGGATATAAAAATTTAGAGACTTGCATTAGAAGTCTCACACGTGGGCAAGTTATGGGATTTTGCAAGCAGGAAGAGAAACAGACCTAAAAGCTGCAATCCTAGCTATTTTTAGAGGGACAAATATTGCAGCTATGCTCTAGATCTCTCCAGCTGTATTAAAGAACCAGTGTTAGCCAAGTTTATTTGCCACAGAGCTAGGAGGGCAAGAGCATGAAAACCCTCTTTATGACCATTGCTAGAAAAACCCCACAAAGCCATACAGCCTGCAGAGGCTGGTGGGTTTTTTCCCTCCACCCTCTCACAAACCAAAGTTGTCACCCTTGTGTGTATTTATTGAGTCTGTCTGGCCTCCAGCCAAGCCTCCCCAACCCCATCCCAAGCTCCCTTCCCCATGCTCAGTCACAGGGAAGAGCCCACACGCAGCCAGCACAGCCAAAGGGCAGGTAGGTGCACGCTGAAAGGGCGGGTAGGTGCACGCTGCTGAGCCCCGCTCTCCACAGCTGCATTTCACCTCTCTCTGTTCACTGCAGATCTTGCACAACCACAGAGGACGTTTCTGTGCTCCAAAGGTTTCTATTCCACACTTGGTGCAAACTTTCTGCAACAAGGAGAGAGAAAAAGAGAAACAAAAGGCAGTGTTAGCAACTCCCCACAGCCATATAGCCCTTGGGAGAGGGAAGGGAAAGAAGCATTGATCCCAACAGTCCTGTTTTGCTTTCCTGAAAAAAGTAAACATGGCACAATTTTCTTATATATCCTGGAGAATCACTGAAGCTGCTCCAGGTCTATCAGGACACGAGACAAAGGCAAATCTACAGCACAGCCCTTGACTGGCAAGAAGAGAACTGAATAGGGCAAATCAACCAACAGGCATTCTTTCTAGAGTGGTTTTTTTCCTCTCCTTTAAATCCTAAAGCCCAGTCACTGCAGCATGGAAAGCAGCTGTAACCAAGTACAAAACAAGGGTGGGTTTGTGTGAGACTGGAAATCCTCTCCTCCCTTCCCTGACAGACACAGCCTCACAACACACACAGCATTACAACACAGAGTCTTACACCCTGTGGCTTCCCCTCCACTTCAGCACGCGGCTGAAAATCGGCAGCTATTGATCTGTGGCTGCTTGGGAAGTGGGCACCAGGAGTTACACACACAGATCTCCTGAGCAGAATGTCTGAGAGCACCACGTGGCCTCTGCTGCTGCACAGGGACCTTTCATGTCTCCGCTGGCATTACAAGCCATTTACAACCTGAATCACCTAATATTATATAATGAAGCTGATGTGTATCAGGCTTGGCTTACAGCTTGAATGAGAAATTGGATGAATTCTTTGATCCTCACAGAGAGAAAGCCACTCACAAGAGGGACCCTGGAGAGCAAAACCTTGCTTAGAGAGACAGACGAGTTTAATCTCCCCAGCTAAGGTTTTACACATCCTCCTGACCAGGCTGCAGGAGGTCTGTGTCCAGGGAGCAAAGTCTCAGTGGCTCACTCAGCCCCCAGTGCCCATGCCTGGAGGAGGGGAGCAACAGAATCATGGTACCCCAGTCAATGGCTTCACTGCATGAATAAATGTCCTCAGCTATTTTGGTTAGTGTAGTCCAGGGGCAGGTCTGTCCCTGACTCATGCTGCACAGAAAGTGGGAGGTGTCACCAGCAGCCCACTGAGGCTGGTGCTTTTCTCTCCATCTTTCTGTTCCTGTCCTGCCCTCATCCTCCCAGAGAAATAAAGAACAACTGACTGGGTCTGGGGCATCAATACTCAACGTGTAGAGACCCAAGCCAAGAGGGATTGCAGGAGCAATCAGCAGGCACCACCTGAAGGACCCCAAGTTCTCCCTCCCTCAAACCAAACTCTGAGGGAACAACTGTCTTAAATACCCTCAAGGCTCCAAAACCCCATCTGTATAGCACATTCAAACACTCCCTCTAGTGGAAGTTTCCCAGCCATTTTATTCCTACCATAAATCTTGGAAGTTCCAATATAAACCAGGGCTTTCCTCCTCCTCCTCCCCTTCTCTGCAGACAAGCTGGAAAATGGGAGCATCACTCACAACCCCTCAGAAGAAGACATAAAAATCAAGGATATTAAATGCAGCTCCATTCCCCATTAAATACAAGATAAAGCACTTTCTTCTCCTATTTATACTTCACCTTTTATGCATCACACCGATACCCTCTGCATGCTAAATGACACATTATGCTTTGTCTAACTACTGCTATTGTTAACACACCTGGATTTGCATACATCTTTGTCTTCCTATAGTGCATTTATTTCCAAGATAATAAAAACTAATATTAAAAACATTTTTCATAAAACAGAAAGTGTCACTGAGAAAATCCATCAGGCTACAAGAAATAGGGAACCTCTCCCCAGCAGAAGGGACTTGCTGAAGGTGGGTTCTCTGCCACGCTTCAGATGCCTCAGTAGAATTCATGTTATTGAATTAAGCATGCTGCAATGAGATGGTAACAGAGCAACGCTAGCAAGAAAAATATGAACTTTAAAAATCCATAATTCCCTGACAAGTCATTGCTTATTGCACACAGCACTGCACGAGTGATGGATATCCCTGGGTGAGAAGGAACAAGCTTAAAGTAACAGTCCATTCTGTGTGCTCTGCTGAAGGGTTGACTGTTCCCTGAGTTCACAGCATTAAAAAGCAGCAAAGGGAGAAGGCCAAGGCACCCAGGCAGCACTGCCCTGAGCTTGCACACTGCTGAGAAGTGCAGCCAAGCTGAATGCAGCTGTAAAACACACACTGGAGAAGTAGGGTCTCACCTTAAATCAACCTGGATAGGAACATTCCTGAACGGCCAACAGACTCCAGGCAAAAAGGGAATAATCACAAAAAAACCCCAAAAAGTTCTTCTTTGGGGTGTTCTGGACACAGCCCCCCCCCAGCCTCACCAGCTGGAGGGTTACTAACTGCAGTTGCAAAGGGACAGGGCAGGGAAGTGTCTGAACCAGCTTCTGCCTCCTCACTGGTGTGTGGGGCTCAGAGGAAGGAGGTTAGACAGCAGGGTGACACTGTGACCTGGCTGGATTTGGACATGGAGAGCAGAATCACCAAGGGAAGAAGGCAAGAGCACAGCCCATCCTGTTATTCCACATGCTTGAAATGCCAGAACCGTGCAGCCAGCTCCTGTCGGACACCCAGCCCTTTGTTTTCTACAGAGCCCACACTACCCTGCCCAGGAGAGCTGCCCTGTAACTCCCCTCAAACCACACCTTCCACTTCCCAGTGCCTTACTGCTGCTTCCTTCCCAACCCTTCCTCAGAAGCTACTTTCTCCCTGGCGTTTAAAGTGCTGCAGCCAAGCGTGGGCCAGTGCAGGCCCAGCCTGGTAGCCTGCTCTGCAATGAGAGCTGCTCCTCCCAAAGCTCCAGCAGCACCAGCAGGGAAGGTTCCCCACCACTGCCTGCAGGGCTGCTTAGCCACAGAGGTGCCAACATGCACTGCTACAGGGCAAAGGGGCACTGAGCTTTTACTCAGTGCTGTCCTGTGGACTCCATGGGACATCTCAGTGACAAGGGTGGGTGACAGCAGCTAGAGTCTCCTTGGCTTCAGCAGCCACCAGGGACAGAGTCAGCACAGGCTGCTCCCTTGTACCCTGCCACCAGCAAGTCAGAAACACTCCTCCACCCAGCAGGTACCCTCACCTCTCCCCAGGCAACATGCTGAGGTGAAGTCACTTATGGAAGTATCTCCCCAGGGAAAGATGGGCCTCAAGTGCAGGAAAAACAGCCTCCCAGCAGAGAGAGGATAAGGTGGTTGCCTTGGAGATCCTCATCTCCACAGCAATACAGATTAACCCCTTGGCTGCAGAGTCTAGACAAGCAACTGTCCCCCAGAGTGCTGGCAGAACTGCAGTCTAAGTGATGCTGCCTCTCAAAGAGCAGCCGTGCAGTCCTGCCCAAGACAGAAAACCAGGCAGTTGCTGATGCACAGGCTGATTTATGTATCAGGGCTGGAAACCTTACAGTGGTTTGGAACTTGAAGATGGACTTGAGTTCTCTGAAGAGAGGTGTTACTGGAAGGTCTAAGAGCAAACCTTGCAGTAAATACCACACTGACTCTTGTATGAGTTGCCTCTGAGGGCAGCACATGTTTGCCCCTTCTGCCAAGAGTGGGAGATCAGAGGGGGCTGGTGAACCCCATCTCAGCAGTAAGAGCAGTTTAGGGACTCGGGGATCCTGAGGAGTAAGATAACCAGGCTGCAAGAGAACACCTGACAGTCTGACAGCACTCACCTAGACAAGTGGGGCTAAGGCAAGTTAACTCTGCAGAACTACCTAGCTCCCAAGAGGCCCGGTGGCCTTTCCAGGACAGATCTGCTAGCAGGAAGAGGCAGGAAGCTGTGTGCCCAACCCACCTTTTTGCAGTCCTGACAGAAGACAGCCGTGCTGCCCAGCAGCCCCAGCAGCTCCCCACAGAGCAGGCACTGGGAGAGGCCGTTCCCCATGGCGTTCTTCCTCATGTTCTCCAGCCGTTCCACCAGGCGCCTGCGGGGGAAGAGCAGAGCAGAGCTCTCAGCTCTCACCTTGGACGTCGAGCTGCTGAGGTGTGCCAAAAACCTGCAGGGGTGTGCTCCACTCAGCCTACCTCTGCTGCCTCTGTGCAGTTTTGGGCTCTTTGCTGGGACTGTGTGTATTTCAGGCTCTGCACTTGGTGCTTCCTATCAGCTGGCTCTTGGTCTTCAGGGGATACAAACCCCTGTAAGTCCATCTACCAATGCTCACCAAGCCCAGAATAATCAAGTCTGTGAATAACACCAAGAGGCCTGACTCAGCGAGTGGGTGCAGGGCAGACAGCTCACGAGAAGGGCTGGATAGATCCCACACCCTTCAGGAGCTCAGTGTCACCAGGGCCACACAGCCTCAGCACAAGGATTTCCTGCCAGCAGAGCAGAAAGAGCCTTTAGTGCTCAGATCATGGCAAGTCAGACAGCAGCAGGAAAGGGCAGAGGAGCTAGACCTGGCAGGCCCTGCTCCATTTTTATGTATATTCCATCAAAGCAGCACTGCAGACACAACTTGCCCACATGCCATTAGAAGCAGGAAGGCCAGACTGAAGCCATCAGACCAAAATGAGCTTGGCTGCAGTACAAGAATGGCAGGAACTGCTCCCTGCTTTGTCCCACAGCCAGCCTGGAAGACAGGAAGCACATATGTATGCACAATGTCCGTAGCAGCAGGACGAGGAAAGGGAAGGAAGGCAGGATAAGCAATCAGGATGCAGGATGTGGAGAGCATGCAGAGCAAGGCTGCTGCCTTGAGATCACTGCTCGGCCATCCTCAGGCATCCATCTGTAGATGGGGATGGTAACAGCCAGGCCATTCATTTATGAGAGGCAGTGCCCAGCCACAGCCTGTGCAGGCTCTCCTGCCATCCATCCAACCCCGCTCTCATTAGCGCTAATGTCCCATCAACCAAGTGTACTGAGAGGAAGGCAAGGTCTGTTTGACAGAGGTACTGCCCGTGGGGCTGAGGTCAGACAGCAGTCAGTCTGAGCCATCATTAGTGGACTCATGATCCTCCACTTCAGCACAAGAAAACTCCCAGGAGTTAACAAAAGCATTGCAGAGAACAGTCCAGCACGGGGCAGCAGGTGTACCACCTCCTGCAGCTACACCAACCACCGACCAGGAACCAGCCCCCCCGGGGCCAGTGGGGTCTCCTGTGTATCACACAGGCATCACTGCCAGTTCTCATTAGCACTCACTAACGAGCACTGCATGGGGACAGAGCCAAGGGTGGTGGCAGAAAGCAGGACCACTGGCCATGGGCTGGGAGTCACGGGGGTTTCCTGCCTCACACACACTGCTGGGAAATGCTGCGGGCCCGCCGGCCTCCCGAAGGCAGGCACTGCAGGAGAGCCACAGCCACAGCTGGGACCAGCCCTGCAGCAGGACTGAAACCACATGGAAACCCACAGCATCAAAAGGGGGCCCATATATTAAACAATCCAAGCTACAAACCTCTTCCAGAGGGCTCAGCCAAGGAGAATATAAGTTCATTCACTGCTCCAGGCAAAATCCCCGGGGGCTGCAGCAGACAAGGGACAAGCTGAACGTGCTGCCAGCAGTGGCTTCTGAGCCACACTGTCCACAACCTGGCATCTTCCAGAGCCACTGGGGTGCCCAGGCTGGAGCCACTCTGG